AACAGATAAAAGATTGACATTAAAGTCTGGAACAGCAAACACATCAAATAAGGTAAGATGTGAAGACAATTGAAGATTTCCAATTTTATTTATAGGAGCTGAAGATCCATTGGGATGTTTGACAAGAAGATTTAGTCTAGACACATCTACAACATCTTGAAGCTGTGACTCAGAAGCTATCATATGTTGATTTGCTCCTAAGTCAACAATCCAGCTTTGAGAATTATTAGAGCTAACAAAAGAATTGCAACACTGAAACAATGATATACCTGCCATATTAGCAGTGGCAGACACATCTTCATTAGGAGAATGCTCACAAATAAGATGAAGGAACTTAGAATATTGTTCATCAGTGAGAAAGTGAGCACCATTACCAGGAACAGACTCAAAAGAGGCTGAAGTGTTACTGTTAGATTCAACAGAAGAGGAATTCACAGAAAAAGACTTATTCTGATTATTATTATTATCATTTCTATGTTTAAAATCTTTTGGATAACCAATCAATTTATAACACCTATCTATTGTATGACCTTTAAGATTACAGTGTTTACGTTGTAACCCTTGATTTCTAGATCTAGTTTGACCTTGTGTTCATTTAAATTCATTTGCTCTACTATTAAAAACAGAGACTTGTGGTTTTGAAGAACCAATATTACCAAGAGACCCATTCTTTTGAAGTGACTCTTCTCTAGAAAGAATAGAGAAGGCAGTTTTAACATTTGGCAAAGGTTCCATCAAAAGAATGTGACTCTTAACTTCACTATACACATCATCAAGGCCACAAAGAAACTGTATTAGTTTCATCAATTTTGAATGATCATTAAGCATAGTAGCAGCCTCACAAACACATTCAGTTAAACTAGTTAATCCATCAAATTCTTTCCATAAAGAATCTAACTTATTATAATAATCAGAAAGAGAAGAACCATTTTGCTTTAAGTTGTTAATTTTTTGATGAATATTAAAAATGACAGACCCATCAGCCTTATTATAAGTCTCAAATAATTCATCCCAAATATCTTTAGCTTTATCAGAATATACATGACTAGCATATATAGTTTCAGAAATTGACCCTAAGATCCAATTACAAACAACAGCATTAACACGTTCACACTTAGATGCTTTAGATGCTTCAGTTTTTTCAAGAGTAATAGTACCATCCACAAAACCCAATTTGTTTCTAGCCTTAAGACCTCTAGACATAGCACTACGCCATAGACGATAATTTTCTTTACCAGTCAACTTAATTGTTATAATATAAGTTACAGTATTATCAGAAGGATGGACATATAAAGGATCATCAAAATCAACTGGATTATCTTTAGCACTACCACTTCCTTTTGAAGTAACACCAGCCATAGTAGATCACAAAAAATAACACACAAAGAAACAAATAGCAACAGATCAACCAAGAAATCAGAAATCACATACACCTGTGTTGACTTAAAGTCCAGATGGTCACCACAGTATGTCGGGGCCCAAGACAATCAACACAGGGTAAAAAAAACAAACAACAAGTAACTGGTGTACTCAAGACACCAGGATCTCCCACATCTACAACTAGGAAAAAGAAAGAAGAGAACAAGAAAACCTCACAGCGCAATAGGCTAGAATCGATTAACAGAACCGACTCCCTGAATCTGTTTCCTTCAAGGGTTTCTTGGTGATGAAATCCGACCCCAAGAGGATTATTTCAGATTTAAGGGATTGATCGATTACACCACGAAAGCTTGATCTCTCAACAACAGTGCTTGGTTAAGAATCCGATCCTCACCAAACCTGAAAGATCAAGAACAAAAAACTTCGCAGTAGCAGGATCTTTATCAAATAGACTCAAGTTTTAGGGTAAATCACCAATAAACCCTAAACTCACAATCATCTAATCGAATGAACAAAAAACTGTAGAAAAGGAAAAAGACGAAATACCTTTCACAGATCGTCAACAACAGGAGATTAACGAACACGAAGCGAGACGTCAGGATCAAAAAACACGAGCCTTAGAGCTCTGATACCATGTCAAAACATACAAGATAAACTTTCCCAACATCACCATTTCTCATATCATTTAAGGACAAAGAAACAGGTGGTTTTCAAGAACTTACAGATTAAACCTCACTACAAAACACCTAATCTACTCTCGTTACAATACACTCAACCTAATCTATATCAACCAAGACTAAATGATCAAGAACTACTCAATCAGACTCTTGTACAAATTGTTCTAGTCTATACAGATCAAGATGAACAAAATGAAGAAAGGAATCAACGAGAGAACTGAGAGAAAACCCTAAACTGATCTGAGATAATATCTTGAACAATCCCTCTCTCTCTTCTTTTATATCCTAGATATCAACCACAGTTATAACCCGAACCGAACTTGACCCAAGCTATAACCCGCGTATCAATCAACCTGCACATTCACTTTACTACCCACAAGAATACCATCTTTACATAATAACCCCTCAATCGCATAAGACTTTATTTTAAATAATAAATATGAGATTGTATGTATCTATATTTTTAACATTTTTGTATTATGGGATGTTATCCACAGCTTGTTTTTCAACATTTCAAATATAAATTTTAAACTATACTGATTGTTTTTATTTTTGTCGGGTCGAAACTTGGTTAAGAGCATTGTAGTAAATTCCCGAGAAAATGACTTGTAAGGGTAACGAAGTATTTGAATTTTACAAAAAATACCATTGAAATTTTTTTTGTACACATATCGCCAATCAACCATAACGTTTGTACACATGACCATTAAACTTCACATTTGTTCAAAAAATACCATTACGTTACCGGTAATAGTAGGTCATCAGCCACGTGGCTGCTGATGTGGATTTTATTGTTTATTATGTACACATTATACCATTAAACTTTTTTTGTACACGTTATACCATTAAATTTTTTTATGCACATTTTACCATTAAAGTTTTTTGTACACATTTTATCATGAATCTTATATAACTTATTCAAAAAAAATCATTTCAAAAAATATATATTATTACATAAAAATAGGTTTTCCATCACCTATTGTGACTCTCTGAGTTTGTAAGGTTTGGGGGAGACGATTCTTTTTTTATAATGATACTAAGCACTCCCTTTTTACAATTGTATCATACATTTATGTTGGTTATACTCGATTGAAACCCACAAGGTTTGAACTTGAGACTTTCATTTGGAGTTGCCAAGAAATACTCAATTATTCATTATTTTAGCTAAAGTTTAATAAACTTACCCTTATAAGTCATTTTCCTATCGGTAAACAACGACATAATTTCAATACAGTTTTCTAATCATCAATCATCATTAAGAAAGGGGGGGGGGGGATTCTAATAAGGTAACATGTACAAAATATTTCATGAGTTTATAAGTGTGACTCAAATGCAGTTCCCTAGGAAAATGACTTATAATGATAAGTTTATTAAACTTTAGCTAAGATAATGAATAATTGAGTACTTCTTGGCCATTCCAAAGGGAAGTCTCAAGTTCAAACATTGTAAAGCGAACCCTCTCCCCCAAACCTTACAAAATCTGGGAGTCACAATAGGTGATGGAAAACCCATTTTTATGTAATAATATGTATTTTTTGAAATGATTTTTTTTAATGAATTATATAATATTAATGGTAAAATGTATACAAAAATTTAATGGTAAAATATGTACAAAAAAAATTTAATGGTATAATGTGTACAAAATTTTTTTAATGGTATAATGTATACATAATAAACAGTAAAATCTACGTTAGCAGCCACGTGGCTGGTGACCTAGACCTACTATTACCGGTAACGTAATGATATTTTTTGAATAAAGGTGAAGTTTAATGGTCATATGTATATAAATGTTATAGCTGATTGGCGATATACGTACAAAAGAAAGTTTAATGGTATTTTTTGTACAATTCTAATACTTTGTTACCCTTGGGAGTCATTTTCTCTAAATTCCCCAACAAGTATTAAGTTTTTGGTAGAGTTATACAACTTGCCCATGTTCATGTACAAATTTAAACTTGTTACAATGCCCTTTTTATGAATGAAAATTAAAGAAATAAGTGTAAGAATAGATTATATATATGAGATTGTGGAACCAATTAAGCTTATGAGAATATAAAGCATTTTGAGCGGTATTTTGAAAACAATGTAATCAACATCTATTTATATCAAAGTCTAGATGTGTAAAATGATAATTTTGGCGCTTCCAACAGATATAAAAAACTACATAGTTGTTTGTATAAAAATATATTTTAAAGAAACCGCAACAGCCAATCGCAAAAATTAGGTTTCATGTTGATAAAACTATGGTTTTAAAATAAAACCGGATTGTGATTTTGGGTATATCCGAATGGGTTTCTGATCGAAGTATATGTTTCTAAAAAGTCCAATTTCGATATTACCCATTAAAACCCACACACAAATATATGGATTCAAATATTCTATACATATTAGCTTCAAACAACATTACGATAGAATCATTTGAAGTGGGAGCATTTAACATCATTTCAATTAGTATATTCAAAATACTTTTTTGCATTTCATTCAAGTTTCTACCATCCTTTTTGTAGTTAATTCGTCCTATATTTTATGTTAGATACCCGTACCCTTCTGATGCCAAAAACCAGTTGCTAATTCTACATTTTTAGAGAACAATTTGTTTCTTCTTCACATTCATTCGTTTCAATTTGTTTCTTCTCCTCATTCTTTGAGGCCAATTCTTCTTCATTTTTTGCCTTTGCTTTTGCCTCTTCATTCTCCTTCCTCTTCACATCAACAAAATCAATAAGACCACCAAGAGCAATGTCGGGATCACCATCCTTCAACAGTTGCTCTGCCACCTCAGCCGGAGTGATCTCCACCTTGCAAAGCAAATCCTCAATTTCTTCAAAAAGACTGTGTTCAGTGATTCCAAGATAGTTGGAGGCCAGTTGGTGGAACCCACAAGGAGTACAGTATGACATGTTGATGTGGACATCCATTCGACCAGGTCGGAGGAGTGCAGGGTCAAGTTTGTCTTTTCGATTTTCCCGTTCCCGGCGGGCCGTACAACAGGTAGCCTCTCTTCCAAGCTTTTCCGACTTTCCGGTAGTACTCTCTTCTCTGTATGAACATGTCTAAATCCTTCGTCACCTTCTCCTTAACATCTGTATCCATTGCCAGCGTGGAAAATGTCGACGGATGGTCTAGATTCACCGGCGTCCACATTTTTGAACGGGTTTGATGCATCGCCAACGGATCGACGGTGAATAGCTTCACGGTTTTCTCTGCTTGTTTCTTCGCTTTCGACTCATTAAGTATAAACGGTAGGTACTCGTTCAAGGCGAGATCCTTGTGTTTCCGATGAAATGTGAGTCGTAGAATTCGAAGTTCGGAAGAAGATCTGATCATATCATCGTCACGGTAGTATTCTGTCGCCGGCGTCTTGTTAGACACCGAAGACCACTTGAACTTGACTCCATTGTAAACATCGGTACACTCTTCGTTGTTTTCCATGGCAACGTTGATATTTTTCTCGCTGGTGTACTTGCTGATCTTCATACGGTGGATATCGGGTGAAATACGGGCGGCAAGGTACAGTTGTGTGGCGTTGTAAATCTCGTTTGGCCGAATCCCGTCGAATTCGTAGATAACCATGGTTACCTGTGTGGAGAACTTGTTGATGAAATTGCGGAAGCCGAAATCGAGGTAGTCGTGGAATTCAGAAGGCAAGTAATCGCGGGCGACGCTGCGAACCACCATCGCCGCCGCGGCGACAGAACCGATGGTGGAAACGACTGTTTTGGCCATGGCGATTTTGGATTCGATCGACGATGACATTTTGGAAATCAAGGGCTGGATTTAGGGGCGTTGTGAAGGAGATGAAGGTCAAGGGTTGGTTTTCATAGCTAGTATGTATGAGTAGGGTTTTTTCATAGTGTGACTGTAGGTGCGTATGTTGGAAATGAAGGGCTACGATTTTGTGGCGTAAAAGACAAACTGGAAAATGACAAAAAGGATATAATCAGAGCGTATCCCGGATTTCGTTCGGGTGGGGTCACAAATAAAATGGTCTATTTATATACATTTTCCGGTCAGATAAAATTGGTCTTAAATACTACCAAACAAAATTGCAAGAAAGATGTTCATTACGTACTATTATTATCCTATACTGTACAAAATAACATGAACATGCATATAAATGTTATGGAATACTGATTAAACTAGTCTATAGTAAACGAGGGGTGTTTAACAAATATACTCAAATTTTTAAAAGATAATTAATTTCTTCGGAACATTATATTCCGAATCCGAAGTAGTTATTTAAACATTTTTTGTTACACAATTTATATTGTATTTGTAAATGTATTTTTTAAAGTTATCTGATATCACCGATTTCTAACATTATGATAATTTTAAGGTACCATTCTACATCAACCTATCGTTTTATTACCACACAACACTCACCTAATTGTCAAGAAATTCCCACACATCACCAAAATTTATTAGATTTCATCTAACTCCATATTAGAATATATTTAAATCAGTTTATATCACAACAAAATTCACGACAAAAAAACCATTTATAACATATTTCATAATGAAAGTCATTAAGACATTCTTCTAAAAATGTCTTCCGATTGGTTGATATTCATTCTTCTCAATGTTAGTTGTTTTCAACCTCCAACAATGAGTTAAAGCCACTCGACATCTCAGAGATGAGAAAGATGGTAGCAACCAAAGAAACAAGAAGCAGAGTGTGAATACCTAAAAACGGAATCTAAGCAAAGCAGATAACAAATACTACATAAGTTGTGAGGCATTGAAGACAAAGAAAAGTGGATAGTGTACACAAAGAAAATAAAAATCAAGCCCTTGAGCATTGGATAAAGAAAGTCGAATGTGTACTTGTCTGCCGGTATACTTGTCTGCCAGTATGGAATCCATAAGTGTAGTGCTCATGGCTGAGAGAAGTAAAAAATAAGTGTAGTGATCATGGCTGAGAGAAGTAAAAAACAAGTGCCCGTTTATTTTGTAAGTCGAGTTCTACAAGGGGCGAAATTGAACTATTCAATCATCGAGAAGCTCATATTAGCTTTGGTTTACACAACGAGGAGGTTGAGAAGGTATTTCCAGGCATACCCATCACCGTCTTGACAAATTAACCCATCAGACAAATTCTAATGCAACTCGAGCGTTCGGGGCGGATGACAAGGTGGGCCATCAAGCTAGGGAAATACGACGTTACCTACCGACCACGAGCGAGCATGAAAGCTCAAGCCATGGCAGACTTTCTGACTGAAATACCTTATGAAGAAAAGCCTAGCACATGGGTGGTGACAACACATAATTCGAACCAATCGATCCTTGCTTAGCTCAGTCAAGGTACGACCTGTAGATCTCGTGGACAATATACACAGATGGAGCTTCAAGTCGTAATGGTTCAGGAGCAGGAATCATCCTCGTTAGGCCAAATGAGGGTCGATTAATATACGCTTTATGCTTCAACTTTCAATGCTCAAATAAAGAAGCGGAGTACGAGACACTGCTAGCAAGATTGCTAATCACCCTACAGGTTGGAGTACAGAAGTTGCGAGCCTTTTTGGATTCCCGGCTAGTAGCGAACCAGATTAACAGGACCTTTGAGACTAAAGAGGCACATATCGTAAAGTATTTAGAGAAAGCAAGAAAATTAACTGGGCATTTTCAAAGCTTCGACATAACCTAGATCCCTCAATCGAATAATAAAGAAGCGAGTGCCTTGAGTAAGTTGGCGGCAGTTGTGTTCAACCACCTCTCAAAAGAGGTGTTGGTGGATGTTCTACATAGGAAAATCATAGAAGGAAGCCCGAAAGAAATAATGGAGTTGCATGAAGAAACTGGATTGTGGATGATACCAATGACGCGGTACCTTCAAATCGGTGTGTTGCCAAATTATGAAAAGGATGTCCAGAAGGTGCGGGTTAATGCAGCCAATTACACCATGTACAAGGGGAGGCTATACAGGAAGGGATACTCAACTCCCTGGTTGAAGTGTGTACCCTTCGAGGAAGAAAGGAAAATAATTGAGGAAATTCATGCTGGAATGTGTGGAGGACACGTGGGATCTAAGGCAGTGGTCCAGAAAATCCTATGCATAGGGTATTTCTGGCCTACTATGACTAAAGATACTAACAAGGCGATCCAAAAATGCCATAACTGTCAAATCCACTCTAAGGTGTCGGCCTTGCCTTCGACCCCCATGACGAGCATCTGCATCCCATGGCCTTTCTTGTAATGGGGGATCGACATTGTTGGTCCATTCCCTGAAGCTCTAGGAAAGGTGAACTTCCTGATAGTCTTCGTGGATTACTTCACAAAATGGGTTGAAGTAGAGTTGATGGCTGTAATATCATGAAAGAATGTTATCAAGATCGTGTGGAAGCAAATTGTGTGTCAATTTGGTTTTCCTCAACTAATCGTTAGCGATAATGGGAAGCAATTTGCAAATAACCCATTCAAAAAATGGTGGCAGGACAAGGGTATCAAGCAAAGCTTCATGTCGGTGGCCCACCCTCAAGCAAATGAGCAAGTGGAGGTGACTCACAAACAATAGTAAAGGGCATCAAGGCTATGTTGGGTAAGTCAAAAGGAAGTTGGGTTGACAAATTACAACATATATTGTGGTCTTATCGAACTACCATTCGAACCCCAACAAGAGAAACGTCATTTAGTCTGGTGTACGGGATAGAGGCAATGATACCTGTAACACCCAGAATCTTGAGAAACAATTGTTGGAAATAAATCCCCTTTCTAGGGTTAGACACGACGTGTTGGAGGAACCAACACGACGTGTCTAGATTGAAGAAATGAGGCTTTCTTTAAGGCCAACACGACGTGTTTATGGAGCAACACGGCGTGTTGGCGGCTGGTGGAGAAAACCCTAATTTTTGGGGTGTTGTATCCTATATAAAGGCCTTAAATCCTCATGGTTGGCCTCCTTACCAGCCTCCATTTCCACTAAAACCCTAAAATCGATCTTTAAGTCTCTTAGTGGTATTCTTGAGCTGGTAAGAGGTTTTGGTGCTCATTTTTGGTCTTTGTGAAAGATGAGGAGATCTTCAAGTTGCTTTGCTTGGGGAAAAGACTTTAGATCCGGAATCACCATCTTGTGGGTAAGCTTTCTGAGGTATCAATTTGCATCTTGTCTTGTATATGTTTAGATCTCTTTATCTTAGTTGTTGTACTTTTGGTCCCTTTTTGGGTTAACGGATGAGTTAGGTCATTTAAGGGCTTGTCCCTTTAGATCTGAGTTTGTTTTGGTATCCTTGAGCATAAAGGCGCAAACTTTATGAGAGTTTTGGTGGTATGCATGCATTAAGTCGATTAGTAAGTCCTTTTAAGTTTAAGAGCTTCATTTATACATGCATGAACGTAAAGTTGGCAACTTTACGTGGTTTTCCAGCTCAAGGAAGTCAAATCTATGTTTTGGGGCTATGTCTTTATGGATTAAGTGTTTATTGGTTAAACCCTTGCACTATTAAGCTTTATGGATTTGGTTTAAACCTTTTTGGGTAGTCCCAATGGATAAAGATGGAAACTTTATCCTTCTGGACCATGTTTCGGGCTAGATTTGAGCTTTGGAGCTCTTGGAATCGGAAAAACAACTTACTGTATTAAGATGTTGAATCTCGGGAAAACACTGTGTGTTTGCAAGTCAACACGGAGTGTTGGATGAGGTTTTCATGATTATCTGGATGATGGAAGAACACGACGTGTCCAAGGGGCAACATGACATGTTTGGTCAACATGGGCTGTTGACTTTGGCTTTGACCAGAAGTTTAATCAGGGTTCACCATGGGATATGTTGGGCCATGTTCAGGCCTTTTGGATTGTATGTTTGGGCCTCAGTCTTGGGCTAAGCTAGATAAGGGGTAAAATGGTCATTTACCCTAAGTATGGATGGAGGATATAGATTTGATTCCAATTGTTAATTAGGTATTCTTGGCTATTGATAGTTCGGGGGATCATCGGACCAACTATTAGGGATTATCAGTTCTGCCTAGATTGCGAGGTGAGTTTTCCGCATTGTACTTATGGGTCAAAGGCACCAAGACCGACCCTTTGGATTTGATGTTCGCATATATATGTTATAGTGTTGTAGTGATCTGTTAGATATGTATCCTGGTATGTAGGATGATGCCATGCTTAGTGATCTGTAGGATCTTCCTGATTGCCTGCTTATATGTTTAGCTGTGTATATGTCGCTGTGGTGTGGGTGGGTTGAGAGTGTACTGCTTCATGTTGTCAGTCAAAAAACCCGGTAATGTTTATATCGATATGTTGTTATAGTTTACTGGGATTATATGTGTTTCAAATTTATATATGTGTGTCGACACGGTGTACGTGTGGTTGGGTTGAGGCGCTCCCGATTGGTGTTGAAGGCCAACAGACCCAGGGCGTCCCGGATAGACTGAAGGCCAGTGAGGCGTACCAGTCAGGCCGAAGGCCCGAAGAACGTTCCAGATAGGCTGAAGGCCCAGTGAGGCGTACCAGTCATGTTGAAGGTTATGTGAGCATACCAGATAGACTGTAGGCCGGTAGGGCACTCCAGTTAGACTGAAGGCTCTGTGGGCGTACCAGATAGATTGTAGGCGGCTAGGGCGTTCCAGTCAAGCTAAAGCCATATATGCATGTTGTTTGTTGGTATATGTTATCTGTTCGTGTGGTGGTATTTTGGGGGAACTCACTAAGCTTTGTGCTTACAGTTTTGGTTTATGGTTTCAGGTACTTCTGTGGACCGTGACAAGGCGAAGGCGTGACCATACACATCCTTGGTTTACAACTGATTGGATCCTGGA